TAAAAATCAGAAATTATCTCCACTTGCAACAGCTTATCAATATCAGCCCACTCTTTTATCGATAAGAGAACTTCCTTCAACAGGCATATTTTCATTCCTTCATTTAAGACGAAGGCTTAAAATGCAAATGTGGTGATAGTGCAACACAAAATTTATCAAAAGTTAATAATATAAAATTGTAGAATTTCAAGTTGGAAGAAAACATGTTGTCTGCCTTCTTTGCAGCATGAGAATAATTCCTCTGTTCATTTCCCTAAGAGATGAGCCTATAGATTCTGCTTAAAAATCTTCTGTGATGGGAATTCAGTACTTTTCCAAATGACTTTATGATTATGCAACATCTATCCTTAGAAATTTTTTTTTGGACTGATGTCACATTCTTTCTTGAGAATAGGTTTGGATGGAGAGGAGGCATTGAGTGCGGATTGCAGGGGAGGACTGAGAAGCATTTTGAAAGTGGATATAAGGTAATTTGTGAAATTTACACTTTTGCCTAGGGCAAAGCTTGGACCAGATATCTTTGTGAATTTGGTTGCTGATCTAGAAACAGAAAGGTTCAGATTAAAGGGAGAATTTATGTACTTCCAGCCTATAGAGAGATCTTTTAATTTTGCCAGTATATTTACATAATACTCTGTTGTGGGTCTAATGAAAATAGCATTTTCCTGATCTGGGTGTCTCTCTCTTTTCTTTTTTAAAGAAAGACACTATTTAAAATTTTTTTTTAATTTTTTTTTTTTTTTTTTTTTTTTTGAGAGAGACAGAGACAGAATGCGAGTGGGTTAGGGGCAGACAGAGAGGGAGTCACAGAATCTGAAGCAGGCTCCAGGCTCCGAGCTGTCAGCGCAGAGCCCGACATGGGGCTCGAACTCAGGAGCTATGAGATCATGACCCGAACTCAAGTCGGATGCTCAACCGACTGAGCCACCTAGGCGCCCCTAGAAAGACTTTATTTTTTTAGAGGAAATTTAGGTTCACAGCACAGCTGCATAGAAAATACAGAGATTTTCCATCTACCACAGTCCCCTGCACATGTACAGCCTGCTCGATTATCAAACATTCCCCACCAGGTGGTACATTTGTGAAGTGATAAACCTTTATAGTGACACATCTTGATTACTCAAAGCCCCTAGTTTACGCTGGGGTCCACACTCAGTTCTGTACATTCCATGGGTTTTGAAAATATATAATGACATCTATCCACCATTATAGTATCACACAGAGTATTTTCACTGCCCTAAAAATCTGTGCTCTACCTGTTCATCCCTTCCCTGTCCTCAAACCCTGGTGACCACTGACTTTTTTTTTACTATCTCCAGAATGTCACATAATTGGAATTATACAGTATGTAGCCTTTTCAGATTGGATTCTTCCACTTAGAAGTATGCATTTAAGATTCCTCCATATCTTCTTTTGAAGCTTATTTTATTTATTTTGAGAGAGGGAGAGAGAGAGAGAGAGAGCTTGCATGCAAATGAGCAGGGGAAGGGAAGAGAGAGAAGGAGAGAGGATCTCCAGCAGGCTCTGCACTGTCAACATGGAGCCCGATGCGGGGATCCGTCTCATGAACTGTGAGACCATGCCCTGAGCCTAAATCAAGAGTGGGGTGCTTAACTCACTGAGCCAACCAGGCGCCCCAGATTCCTCCATATCTTTACATGGCTTGATAGCTCATTTCTTTTTAGTGCTGAATAATATTCCAATTCTGGATATAGCATTATGTATTTACTCATTCACCTACTGAAGGACATCTTAGCTGTTTCCAAGTTTTGGCAATTATGACTAAAGCTTCTAGAAACAACCACGTGCAGGGTTTTGTGTAGACATACATTTTCAACTCCTTTGAATAAATACCAATGAGAATGACTGCTGGATCATATGGTAAGAGTAAATTTAGGGTTTTTTTTTTTTTAATTTTTGAAGATCTTTTATTAATATTTGAGAGAGAAAGAGAGACAGAATGCAAGTGGGGGAGGAACAGAGAGAGAGAAGGAGACACAGAATCCAAAGCAGCCTCCAGGCTCCGAGCGGTCAGCACAGAGCCCAACATGGGACTCGCACCCACGAGCCATGAGATCATGACCTGAGCCGAAGTTGGACGCTCAACTGACTGAGCTACCCAGGATCCCTGAGTACATTTCGTTTTGTAAAAAACTGCCAAGCCGTCTTCTAAAGTGGCTGTACCAATTTACATGTCTACCAGAAATGAGGGAAAGTTCCTGTTGCTTCACATTCTTACCAGTATTGGGTGTTGCCACTATTTTGGATTCTGGCCAATTCTAATAGTTTTGTAGTAATATCTCATCATTGTTTTAATCTGCATTCCCCTGATGGCATATGATGCAAAACACCTTTTCATATGCTTATTTGACATCTGTACCTCTTCTTTGATGAGGCATCTATTAAGGTCTTTGGCCCAGTTAATAATTGGGTTGTTGGTTTTCTTATTTTTGATTTTTAACGGTCCTTTATACAATTCGGATGTTGACCCTTTATCAGATGTGTCTTTTGTAAAATATTTTCTCCCAGTCTGTGGCTACTTTTCTCATTATCTTGACAGTGCCCTTTTGCAAAACAGACTTTTAAAAAATGATAATGAAAGTTCAGCTTATCCTCGTTTTCTTTCATGGGTGGTACCTTTGGTTTTGTATCTAAAAGGTACACACCCAAGGTCATCCAGATTTTCTCCTATGTTATCTTCTAAGAATTTAATAGTTTTGCATTTCACATTCATGTCCGTGGTTCATTTTGAGTTAATTTTTGTCAAGGATATAAAGTCTGTGTCTAGATTTATTTGTTTGCATATGGATGCCCTCTTGTTCCAGATACATTCGTTTAAAAGACCACCTTTTCTCCATTGTATTGCCTTTGCTCCTTTTTCAAAGATCATTTGACTATATTTATGTTTTCTCTGCTTTTTGAAATCTCACAGATCCTTTTTTTTTTTTTTTAATTTTTTTTTAACGTTTTATTTACTTTTGAGACAGAGAGAGACAGAGCATGAGCAGGGGAGGGGCAGAGAGAGCAAGACACAGAATCCGAAGCAGGCTCCAGACTCCGTGCTGACGCAGGGCTCAAACTCACAAACCGCGAGATCATGACCTGAGCTGAAGTCAGACACTCAACGACTGAGCCACCCAGGCGCGCCTCTCACAGATCCTTTTTTAAGCCCACTTTATATATTCATCACATCTGCTTTTGTTATTACCATAGTATCACCTACACTATCACAGTCTTATATGGATGAAATTAGTTGTTAAACTACTATTGAACATTTACCACTAAGTGCCAAGCACTGAGCTAAACATTTCATGCTCGTTATCTCATTCAATCCTCACAAAAACCTTATAAGGCAGACAATATTATGATTCATTACTCTTTTGCAGGAGATGAGGCCCAGAGATGTTAAGTAAATTGCTTATGACCCCAGCATTAGCAAGTGGTAGAGATAGAGTGAGGGTTATAAACCAATTTTATATAACTCTAGATGAACTTTCACAGGGAGAATACTTTATTTTATTTATCTGTATATTTCTAGCATGTTGATAAAAAATGAATGTTTGTGAGATTAGATTGATTGCCATGGCCCAAGCTCAATGTTTAAATTGCACTCTGGGCTGCAAAAGAGTCTTTTTGTCTCTCTATTTTTGCTGGAATAAAAACCCATTCAAGCATTTGGAGCAGGACAAGCTTTCTACAGGGTCCTGGCTACAAAGATTGATTTCAAGAATGGTTTGAAGAGGTCCTGTTTCCTCTACTTCTCTAATCTTTCCAGAAATTCTACTTACTGAGATTTTTATCCATAACATAAGACTTGATCCTTGTGAAATGGAAATAATGTAGGAAACAGTAACAGATCAGCAATTTATAAACTGGTATAAACTTATCAGATTATCTTCTATGAACAAGTATTGATCACAGAGGGAAATCAGTTATATCCAATGACAGATATGGAAGCCTAACATAAAATGGGACACAAGTGAACAGGAGATACTGTCCTTTTGAAAATATAACTGAGGGTTTTTTTTTTTTAAAGTTTTATCTACTGACATTAATTAAGAAAGCTAAATGATATTAATGTCATTGAAATTTAGATTTGTGAGATCTGTAGTATAGAAATAAAGTCTAGCTGTAGAGAGATACATTTCTAGTGAGATGAAGTAGTTATTTCTATTATCTTCTGTTACCTAATGCCTTCTTCTAGATTCAGTCCAATTTTTGTATGTGTGTGGGTAAGTAATAAATATGAATTGTATACTTTTTCCTTGAATATAAACAGTGGAGAATGGAAAGAGTGTTGTGGAAAGTAATAATAGGCAAGTGTGTATCATTTCTATGTAGATTCACATTTTTATGTGCATATATTTGGCCTATTTACCACAATTATGCACTGTTTGGCCTATTTACCACCAACTAATTATGACATCCGGATATTAAAATAAGATTGTCATCTGATGACAAATTTTCCATGGAGAAGAGGATTCTGAAACATGCCAGTTTGTATGACAACAAATCATATTGGGGGAAACTATATAAAAATGGTAGTAAGAGCTGATTCCTGGGTGGCTCACTCCATTGAGTGTCTGACTCTTGATTTTGGCTCAGGTCATGATCTCATGGTTCATGGGTTTGAGCCCCATGTCAGACTCCAGGCTTACAGTGAAGAGCCTGCTTGGGATTCTCATTCTCTCTCTCTCTCTCTCTCTCTCTCAGTATAAATAAATAAATTTAGAAAGAGTTGATTCCTGCGAGAGGTTGCCAACTATAAAGATAAATTATTTTGCTACTTAATCTAATATATGAAAAAACTGAGGCCAAATGTGACATATGACTGAGCTCCAAGGCCAGATTTAGCGTGGGTCTCCTTTCCCTTTTTGACCTCCCTTTGCTTGTAGCCACCGCCTCAGAAAGAATTCTATTAGGAAGAGATTTTCACAGTGATTTGTGGTCTCACATCACGATTATCACTGTACTTTTCCAGGACTCCCCGAGGCACAAACATGCAGAACTACACCTCTGTGACGGAGTTCACCCTGTTGGGAATTCCAAATACTGAAGGGCTGGAGAATATGCTGTTTGTCCTCTTTCTGGCCTTCTACCTCTTCACCTTGCTGGGGAACCTGCTCATCTTCCTCACCATTCTGGTTTCCTCTAACCTGCACACCCCCATGTATTTCTTCCTGGGAAACCTGTCTGTGTTTGACATATTTTTCCCTTCAGTGAGTTCCCCCAAAATGATGCTCTGCCTAATGGGGCCAAGCCGGACCATCTCTTACCAGGGCTGTGCCTGCCAGCTCTTCTTCTACCACTTCCTGGGTGGCACTGAGTGCTTCCTGTACACGGTGATGGCCTATGACCGCTTCGTGGCTATTTGTCACCCTTTGCGATACACAGTCATCATGAGCCACAGGGTGCGTACCGGCTTGATGTTGGGCACTTGGCTGGGCGGCTGTCTACATGGAAGTATCCTCACGTTTCTGGTCTTTAAGTTACCCTTCTGTGGCCCCAACGAGGTGGATAATTTCTTCTGCGATATCCCAGGGCTGCTGCCGCTGGCCTGTGCAGACACCTCTCTAGCCCAGACCGTGAGTTTTACTAACGTGGATGTTGTGACTCTGACATGCTTTTTCCTTATCCTTACTTCCTACGGCCACATCGTCATTTCCATACTGAAAATCGGCACCTCTGCAGGCAGGCGCCGAGCTTTTTCAACCTGCAGTGCCCACCTGATATCAATCTTCTTGTTTTACGGTCCAGTGATGCTCATCTATCTCAGGCCCGCTTCCAGCCCCTGGCTAGATTCTGTTATTCAGGTGTTAAATAACATTGTCACTCCTTCTCTTAACCCTTTGATTTACACCTTGAGAAACAAGGATGTGAAATTGGCCTTGAGGCAAGTATTCACTCAAGTGGTCCACATTTCTGGGATAGAAAGAAGGTAGAGGGGAAATTCCTCTCTGAAATTCTTTGGGGAGTTGCTTCGGATCCACTACTCCGAGAACCAGACTGTTGCCAAATAGCGAGCTGGGCAAAGTTACTACCAGTCGTTTCTCAGGAGTCCTGACAGCCAACATGTAGGGGTCAGCTGAGCCTCTACTTCAGTCCCACATGGAAACTTTCCAGATTAACCCAGGCTTTTCTCTTTAAAAAAAAAAAAAAAAAAAAAAAAAAAAAAAAAAAAAAAAAAAAAAAAACTTAAAAAAAAAAGTTTATTTATTTATTTTGAGACAGAGAAATAAAGAGAATGGGGGAAGGACAGAGAAAGAGAATCCCAAGCAGGCTCTGCACTGTCAGTGCAAGCCCGACGTGGGGCTTGAACTCACAAACTGAAGGATCATGACCTGATCCAAAATTAAGGGTTACAGCTTAACCAACTGAGCCACCCAGGTGCCCCCTGCCTTTTCTTTTTTTAATTTGCCAAAACAATGTATCTTTTCCACCGGGAACAATCTGTCCTTGTTGGAACTCTGGTTTGACCAGTTACCATAAAGCTTCAAGGTTTTAGAGGCTATGGACTGTCTTCCATCCCTGCGTCCTCACCCCTTCCTCCCTTTCTTGCTTCCTCCTTTCCTTCTCTGCTCCCTTCCTTCCTTCCAAAATGTATGCCTCACTCTATTCTATTACAGTCTCTTTCTGGCCATTCAACAAAACTAGGTTTTATGGTCGACACATTATAAATTAAAACATAAGATTGCACAGTTTGCTAAATTTAAGTGTAAACTTAGTTTATAACATGGGCTTTTATCATATCTTCCCATTGGAAAATAATTCCATCTGGAGCTTTATTCCTTTGGCCCTCAGAGAAGGCTGGCATTGGACTTGACTCATTATATGTCAAGCGAGAAGCTGGTCATGAATCTATTCTTACAAGATAAGAGAATGGAGTCCTTTAAATTGGTAGAGGAGAGCAGTTTTGAGCCAGAATTCTCTATACACTGTATATATTTTCTGTTTCTTAAAAATATCTAAAAAAATAGAATATATCTGCAATTAATTAAAATTGAACCAGTAACAATATTTATTATTTATCTTTCAACATTTAAATTTCAACATTTAATCAAATGAATTTCAGGGCAATTATCAATTCTGTTCAGAGTCATCCACTCAAACACCTAAAACAATAGCTAACATTTAAAATCTTACTATGTGTATGATGGTGTTATAAGCACTTTCCATGTGTTGGCTAAGTTAATTCACAAAATCCTAATAGGTGGATACTGTGATATCCTTCTTTTATAGACAAAGAAACTATGGTCAGAGAAGTATTCACACAAGGGAATTTGGATCTAGAACTAGACTTTTACTGCCTTATAAGAAGAAGTGAAAAACCATAAATTTCTGTACATAGTTATCCTTATATCTTGTTTTTTATATACCACTTACTGTTCTAATATTTTGCACATTAACGTATAATATTTTGCACATATTAACTAATATAATATGAACAGCATCTCTATTTGGCAGATATAATTACTCTCCTAAATTATATATGAGAAAACTGAGGCACGAAGGTATTACATAACTGCAGAATAGTAAAATAGTGAGACATTGGCCATAATAAGGGAAGCACTCTGGGTGACGTAAGTAGAAATAAGAAATGATGGGAAGATAAAAACCTCAACTCTTTTCACTCTATAGTAATATCCATTCAGTCAGTCAGTCAGTCAGTCACTGATTGATTAACTTAAAACTGTATATCTGACTGGTGTCAGATGGGATCAGAACAGAGTATCCACTAAATTACCTATAAAAAGAGTAAAAGGAAAAACTGTTTGTGGGAACATCTACCTGCCTATGATATAAGTCAAGCATTTACGTACAACTAGTTGATTTAGTATAATGGTTGCTAATATCACTAATATCACTACTTTATCATTCAAGGGTCACCTTATTTACCTCATTTGAATGTTCTTGAATCTCCGGCACAACCTGTGCTATTGCGTTTGTTTGTATAATGGCACCACAGATCACTGTGAAATTTAGCAGTTTAAAACATTTATTGTCTCACACAGTTTCTGAGGGGCAAGAGTCCTGGAGTAGCTTAGGTGTCCAGTCTTGGCTTGGGATCTATCATGAGTTTGTAAGTCACAATGTTGGCCAGGGCAGCATTCACTTGAAGGCACGATTGGGGCTGGGGGATATGCTTCCAAGATGGCTCATTACATTGCTGTTGGCAGGAGGCCTCGGTCCTCAATCACTACCTGGGCTTCTGCTACATATAGTCCCTACATGTCTTCACAAAATGGCAACTGGCTTCTACCAAAGTGAGTGATCCAAGAGAGAGTCTAAACAGGAAGAGGCAAATGCCTTTTATGACCAAGTCTCCAAAGTCATGTACCATCATTCCTACTTTTATTTTCTTTCTGCTAGAAGTGAGTCACTACATTTAGCCCACACTCAGAGGGACAGTAATTAGGCTCCACCTTTTGAAGAGAATGTCAAAAAATTTATCATTGTATTTCTAACTACTCCATCGCAGGTATATGTCCACCTTATTTAATTCTTTTTTCCTGTTGTAATTCTTCATTTAGAATTACTTCATATGCTAAAGACATATCCTGCACTACATACTTCTTTGCATGGTCTTCTTGATTTAGAGCATCCGCTATAATCCTTTCTACCTTTATGAGAACTGTGTGTCTTTCGGGTTTTTGTTCATCCTCAGCCATTTCCATAATACTTTCTCCAAACACCCCATTCCACAGTGATCCCTTTCTTCTACCAGCAGATAGCTCTTATTGCTTAAATTATTCACTTGTCATTAAGAAATACAAATTATAAGTGTTCTTACATCATCATTTCAGACAGTTACATGATTTGTAGGTTACTATTTAACATTTTAACCAGTGAGTAACCTAGAATACAATTAAGTCAGAAGAACAGCTTTTAGGGTAACATCAAATATGTATTTGCAGTTTACTATTTATGTATTTATATAGTGCTATCCAAAGAGGATGGAGTAGTGAGGAAGATAGATACTGTCTCTGTCTTTATGGAGTACAAAACATATTGGAGAAGACAGACATGGAACAAATACCCAATACATGATTGGGACAAAGACTTTGAATGAAAATAGAACAGACTGTGAAAACTAGTTCTAGATGAAAGTATCAAGACCAAGGAAGAAAGAAAAATAGAAAAATCAGCAAAAATGGAAACCCATAGCACTTACCTGGAGACAAGACGCATCAAATATATTATAATATATTATCCAATTTCTGTTCCTGAACTTGGCTAACTTGAACACTATCACTCCTCCTAGCTGGCACTGTGAGATAAATTGAAATGGCACCCTTGAAATGAATGGAACAGCACTTTAAAAAATGGATTTTGATGAATATTGTTCAAAATACTTTAAAAATGCTTTACACACCATGGTGACCAGTAACTTGGTATTCCTATTTTTTAGGAAAAAGAAGGCTCTCCATTGACAAGGACCTTCACTATAATAAACACATTATTTTAAAATGTTTATTTATTTATTTATTTTGAGAGAAAAAGCATGAGTGGGGTGGGGGGGGAGGGAGGGAGAGAGAGAGACAGAGAGAGAGAGAGCATCCCAAGCAGGCTCTGTGCTGACAGCTCAGAGCCTGGAGCCTGCTTCGAATTCTGTGTTTCTGTCTCTCTCTGCCCCTTCCCTGCTCATGCTCTGTCTCTCTCTCTCTCTCTCTCTCTCTCTCTGTCAAAAATAAATTAAAAAAAAAGAACACATTAAAAAAACTTAAAAAAAAAAGAAGTTGCTGTGGCAAAAGAGGTTGCAGCCTGTTTCTCCTTTCAGATTTTGATTTTTTTTTTTTTTTGTCTTCCATTTAGGTCTTTCATCCACTTTAAATAATAAACTCATTCTACCTGGAACTTACTTGATTAAAAATTGGGAATTTAATTTCTGTTTAACTTTATGATACCTAGCCTGTTGTCTTGTTATTTAATATTTAATGCATTCCCAATATTAATCTGTCTGTGGACTTTTAGAATAAACTAGTCATTGATATTGTGTGTTTTAGTATTTGCTTAAAATTCACTCATTTGAACTTTATTCAGAGACTCACATCTATTTGAATTATGGATTTGGTGGCATGTTTTTAAAATCAATTTTTAGTTCCATCTGTTACCTTTATAAAATAAATCAGATAAACATACTGATTAAATTTTTGTGCTCTGGAAAAGAGAACACAGGAGGATTATCTGTTTCTTCAAATAGTCTATAATGTCTTCTAGCTGTAATGTGATTTTTATAAGCAATTCTTAAAAAATGCTTTTCTTTTTTTCATAACCATCAATTTATTCTGATTTTTGATTTTTCCCTTGAGTTGTTCTTTTGATGAATACTTTCCTACTGAAAATTTTTATTTTATTTAAGTCAGTGACTTTCACACTTTAGCTAGTTTAAATCACCTTGAGTCTGGGATTAGGGATTGCAATTTTAAAATACAGTTCCTCTGTTTCATCCTCTAGAGATTGTGATTCATAAAGTCTGAAGAGAGGACCAGAAATCCCTATTTTTAACAAGCACACTCCAGGGATTAATTTGGGATTAATTCATCAGAATAACTACCTCGACTTTTTTCTTTGTATCTGTTATTATATTCCCATGCTCAATCTACTGTTACTTATTTTGCACTTTCTCACTGTCTACATTAGATTTGCCAAAAGTTTGCCTTTTATTCAGTTACTTCCTGAAAGAAAAACTTTTAAATCCATTTATTAGCTATCTTGACATTTGGTTTTGAGGTGGAAGATGCTATGTTGTATCTTGGTTACTCATTGATTCCAATATCATTAATATCTGTCTTTTTTAAAAATTTGGGTCTTTTCTCTTGTTTTGTATAAAATTGTAAGTATATGTATGATGTTTCCACCCACATGGTTAACTATAAAGAGCTGTAGATTAGATTTTTTTTTTAAGTTTATTTGTTTTGAGAGAGAAGAGAGAGAGAG